CTTTATGATACATGCTTTTGTTCATAAATCAGGCACTATTTCTTTTCTTTCAGACTTGATCTTGCATATTGATTTTGCAAACTAATATAAAAGCCAGAGTTTCACCAAGGGTCAGTGTTATCCAGTGAGTTTTGTTTAAATTAGAGAGATCCACTTCTGGGTTTAACTATTTTGATAATTAAAAGAAAGGTATCAAAATGCTTATACTAGTGGAAAATTGCACTTCAATGGGACACTGTAGTCAGAAACATGACAATTCTTGTGATCCACACTCAGTTGTTACACTTTTCTCAAGCTAACTTTGAAAATAAAGAGCACGTAAAATAGTAAAAGGACACAGTAAAATCTGGCTAAAGATAGCTGAGTGTGAATTAATTAGTAGACCTTTTTGCCTTGTTGGGGGAAACTTCCTTCCAGTAAGGCTGCTGGGAATAAATTAATATTTAATGAATTATAATTATCAACTATGTGTTAAAAAAAAACAAACAACAGACATTCCCTGTCCTGTACACAGCCAGGGAACTGCTATTGCTATCACTTTTGTCCTTTGGGAAGTGCAGGGCTGAAGAAATGCTTTTTATTCTCTTTGTGCACTTGGGTCAGCACAGAGATATCTTGGCTGCTCTCACTTCTGTCATCTGCATGAGGCAACGCAATTCTTTTCCTTTATTAATTGCACCTGAAGAACCTAAGGTTAGGATCCTCTGAGCTGTGGCACTGAACTGAGTCAGACAGTCTGGGTTCAGTTCCTGGCTGCTTTGTCTTTGTCCTCCCACCCTGGTTGTATCGCCTGTTTGGACCAAGTAGTTAGGACATGGAAGTGACACTGGAGTCTCTGAACAATGCAAAAAAAAAAAAGTTCATTCTTTATAGTGTGTTTTCTCTTACCTTGCCAGAGAGTCTTGGTGTGTCTCCAGGCTGGGAGAGTTCAGGGTACACATTTGATAGAAACCACTGGAAATTTCTACAGCCCAGTCTCTTCTGAAGCTGAAGGCGCTCACTGCAGTCTGGCTTCTCTGCCTTTATGGAGAAAGGGGAACAAGGTTGCTGGTGTATTTGTGTTAGAGATGCTAGAAGTGGAAATGAATTATTGGAAATGAATGAAATGAAACAGGAATTATTCTACCAGCTTTTCTATCCTGAATGTTACAAATATTTAGATGTATCTCTTATGACATATGCAAAGGGGGAGATCCAGCTATAGCCCTTCTCAAACTTTATGCTCAAACAGCCACAGTTTGGCATTGTGACAGAAGTGTTTTGGAAGTAGCATACATTGTGAAAATAAGTATATCCTCTAAAAATTATTATTATACTGCAAGATAAGTCAGTCTTTATCATATTTCTATTTTAAAAAGTCAGGACCAAGTTTGATAATTGTTGCACTGAAATTCAGTGGGTTTGTATTAGATTGCCATTTAATATAGAATTTTTCCCACTGATAAAAACTCAGTTTCCTGGCCTTTAACAGCCCAAATTACCCAGTTACTGTCAGTCCTCTATGATCAGAGGGAGTAAGTGATGACAGAATTTAACCCAAAATACAGTCTATCACCTATTATCTGTCTATTATCTGACATTTACTAAATCTAATGAACAAAGGTTCTCTGCAGCTATAATACATAAAACCCTTTCTATGATATCTCAATTTTCTTGAATTATAAAGACACAAGATCAGCTCTAAACTTTCTTATGAAAAACTAAACTCTCTTATGAAAAAAGACAAATGCCTTACACTCTTGGTGCAGCTACAGGCATCTGTACTGCAAAGGACTGACAGGCTGAATGTTTGAGGGTATTTAGCACTATAGATGACTAACAGGGTTCTCAAAACCTCTAAGCACTTGTGTCTAATTCTTCAGTTTCAAAACCACACAAATGCTTTTCTAAATCTCTCAGTGCCCAAATATTAAAAACATCTAACAACTCTTAAAAGTTTCTCTCCTCTTTCTTGCCAGCAGTAGATCTCCCCTCTTCATGTTTCTGCTTTTTAAAAAATGCAGTTTGGGATGGGATTCCAGGAAACTGGTCTGCATTTCTTTGACAAATATTAAAATTGGGAACATAAGCAGAGAATTGCTGGTAAATAACTTCTTCCCAGACCAGCTATTTCTCTGTATCCATAAAGAAAGAAATGGACTTCGTAGCATGGAAAACACTGACAAATGAAGGGCCTTGGTGAACCAAGATGAGGTGTTAGTCTCTAAAGGCAGGGATCAATCCTTCCATGTGGCACTTTTTGCCAGCCTCTGTAAACTCCACAGGCAAAGCTCAACAGTTGCAGTATGTTAAAGAGAACCTCATACTTCAGTGCCAGTCTTAGATTCAATAAGCATAACAACAAAATTTAGCAATTCTGCACCACATGAACCTGTCCTCTAGAGGTTTTCTTGGAAAAGGGGGAGAGAGAGAAGAAAAATGCTTCCCCTAAAAGAAGATATTTCTCATGAGAGTCTGCCTTGGCTGAGGAAGGCAGTGGCAGTAAATCTCATTCTATCTCACTAGTTACAGTTTGCATTTGATGCTGAATAAATCATGTAAATAACATAAAGTCATTGTCCCTGTAAACCAATCTGAAAGGAAACTGCTTGTAAATTAAATATGCAAACCACGCAAGAAAAGGAGCAAAAGAGCTGGTGGCTGAAGTAGTAAAGAGCTGCGAAGAGCCTATTTAATCTGTTTAATGCTCGCACCACAGGCATTTTTTGCAAAATGTGATTCAGACAATAAACCAAGAAGAGTTATAAAGCCAACTAAATGGGGATCACTGGTTGTTTTCTGCAGTGAGCAATGGTGGTGGTGAAGACTCAGGGAGAATTCTATAGCTGCCCATAGGTGGCTCTGCTCACCCTCTCAGCGCAATAAATCCCCTCAGGGCCCTTTGCCGCTGAGTGGCAATAATGTCCTTGCTTGCTTGTGCCTTTTGAATAACATCCCAGTGCACTGACAGGCTGAAAACATCGGCTGTGAAAGAAAGGAACACACAAAAAGGGCCATTTATGTTACGGCATGCTGCACACAGAGATCATAAAATTGATCATTTGAGGGAGCATAATACTCAGAAGTAGTAAAACTATTCTGGCTAGAATAAACTCAGGCAAAAGGTCATGCTGCTTACAGCTAGCTGTATCATTGGTGACTGTAGTTTTTAGTAGATAAAATTGCTTCTGAGCTGACAAGAAAAGCCTTCAGGGAATTATTAAATGATTTAAAGACCTCACTGCCCATTTTAAAGGCTTGGTCTAGTGACTATAAACCTTTGTGAATCAATTGACAAGCTCCTGGCCAGTGGAGTTCAAACCTGCAACATAGACAAGGAGGAAGGATCTCTTAAAAAGATGTGAAAATAAGAGTAAAAAAAGGAAACACAATAGTTCCAGACTCTACAATTAGTAGGCTGACTGAAGAGGCAGATCCACTGGTGGAACATAAGGAGGTCGGACTAGGTGACAAGAGAGAAATCACATTGATACACAGTCCCGTTCCCCTCCCCACTATAATGCAGCTCCTGCTGGATCTGGCTTTCTTGGGTGATGGCCTGCCCTGAATGACTGAGGCATACAGGACAGGTATTACTGGAGCCAGTGGTGCTCACCAGTGCTGATGAGCTCATGAAAGCCACCAGGAGTGGTGGCAGCCTGGGCTGCAGTAATCAAGCCCTTGAGTTTGTGATCTCAAGGAGTGTGAGCCTGGTGAGGAGCAAAGTCAAGACCCTGAACTTTGCAAGAGCAAACTTTCAGCTGTTTAAGGAGCTGATGAGAGAGATCCTCTAGGAAACTGTCCTTAAGGGCAGAGGTGCTGACCAGAGCTGGCAGCTCTTTAAAGCCACTTTTCCTACAGTGCAAGAGCTTTCTCTATCCCAGTGTGTAGGAAATTGAGCAAGGCAGGCCAGAAACTGGCACTACTGAGCAAGGATCTGCTCCTCAAACAGAGAAAGAAATGCACAGACAATGAAAGTAGGGACAGGTGACCTGAGGAAAGTACAGGGATATGCTTTGAATGTAGCGTGGGGACAGAAAAGCCAAGGCAAAGCTGGAACAGGACTTGGCAAGGGACACAAATAATCACAAGAAGGGATTCTATAAATACATAGGTCAGAAAAGAAAGGACAAGGAGAGTGAAACCCCCCTCCCCACTGATAACCAAGAAGAGTAAACTGGTGGCGACTGATATCGAAAAAGCTGAAAGAATTCCTCAATCTTTGCTGGCAGTCAGGTCTCTATTCTCTCAAGACCCTGATCCTCTGAGTGAGTGGGGAAGGGGAAGGAAGTCCCTCACCCTATAAGGGAAGAACAAGTGAGGGATCACTTGATGAAACTGGATAGAAGTGAAAGCTTCAGGGAGAATTTAGAACAGACTCCCAGTACCTAAAGGGGGGCTTAAAAAAAGGAGCAGCAGTTTTAAATTCAAAGAGAGCAGGTCTAGATTAGTTATTGGGAAGAAATCCTTTACTCAAGATGGTGGTGAGGCATTGGCACAGGTTGCCCAAAGAAGCTGTAGATGCCTCATTTGAGGAAGGGGATGAGGCATCATCCCTGAGGCCTCATCCCTGTTCACGGCCAGGCTGAATGGGGCTCTGAGCAGCCTCATCTAGTGAATGGCATCTTTGCACAAGGCAGGGGAGTTGGAATGTGATGACCTTTAAGGTCCCTTCCAAACCTAACCATTCTCTGATTCTATGATTCTGTGAAACACAGGAGCAAATACGAATGGAAACTGCACAGCACCTACCCATGCTCTGCCTAAATGCTTCCTGTGAAAGTTTTTCTCCTTAAAAATGTGGCATTGTTAAATGAACAGGAAGATAAATGATACATTTTCATTCAAAACTGCTCACAAGTTTGTCCACTGCCTTGTAGAAAGAATATGATTAGAAGAAAAGGTACCAGAGCCAGAGAATTCCTGAGAACTGCAGCAACATTAACATTATTAACTACATTAACTACACCAACATCATTCCCCACATCTGCAAGACACCCAATAAGCAAACATCCACTTGTTTATAATACAAGGGATACACAGATCCTTGACCACCCCTGATCTGCCATGGGGACTGTACTTAAAAAGCAGGTGTGGACATTCTGTAGTTACTGGATGGTGTGTAACCTGCAAGATGGTTCAAGTGTAGCTGCATGCCAGGGCTACACCACACATCTGCCTGCAATACTGCCCTAGCTTACAGGCTGCTGGGAAACCAAATTCCTGGAAGAGTGTCTAGTCAGATGTCTGCACCATGTTTCTAATGAAAATATAACTTGTAAATAGTGGTGTGTTGAGATCTAACTTTCTCAGTTCAGTTACTTCTGGATATGTCAGTTCACAGAAAAAACCCACCTTTTTTGTCACTAGACCACTCAGATATATTCCCTATAATTTTCCACTCGCTTGTGAATAATACCGAATATCCTCAGGAGCCATATGAGGAAAACCAGTAACTGAGAATGAACTCTCTAGGACAGTCCTTTGAGCACACAGGGGTGCAGGCTTCCACTTCAGATGCATCACAACCCTCCAGGTACTATCAGTGAAAAACAAACCACAGCTTTTTGGGGAGTCATTTGGAGAAAAGTTATACTCCACAAGGTTTGATAACTTCAGCACAAGGCTGAACTTAGGCACAAGTTTCTCTCCTTCCTTATCTGACAGCTCTTTCACTGGAAGGTTTAATAAAAATATTATCTATCCCCTGCATCTGACTGCATACAGACACCCCCACTCATATTCCTCTCCCTTCACCTATCTCAACACAAACCTCCAAAACAAACCACTACAGGTGTCTTTACCTTGCTGATTAAGAAAGCCACTGTGTCATGCTTGTAGAAGTTCTCTTTAAAGGAGCCCAGCCAGATCTCTGCTATTCGGATTTTGTTCCTCACAATGGCCTCTTCATAGGAGAAACTATGGGGGAAGCGACTTCGATACACGTGCCCAACTCGGGAGCATGGGATAATTTCTACAGAGCCACCACAGAGCCATGTCTGAAACACAGGTGAAAGCACAAAAAGAGATTACCTTATTTAGATTACTTTTATCTGAAATGGAGAAGCTCCTTTACTCTAGGCTCTCCTTCAGGAAATCCTGGAAACAGCAGAAGCATTATTATATATTTCTTCATACATTGCTCCCCACAGACACAGAGAAGATCCTGGGCATTCAGACCTCTGATTTGATCCAGTATGGGTATTTCTATTCCTTTATGTTTTTCTGTGCACAAATAGTGCAGAGGAGTAGAGAGATCTGGGTGCACACCTTCCCTTATTTGGGACAATAAAAACACTGTGCCCTTTGTGCCTGCAATTTTCATTGATTTTCAATGTCAGTTACTCTTTGTATTCAGCAAAAATCAATGCAAAGAATTAAATATAAACAATTTGCTATTAAAACTACAGGCTGGCAAAGAAATAAAGCTACTCTCCCTTTGGTCCATGCTAACATGCCAGAATAGAAGAAGCAGCTTTCAGAGGGTGCCAAAAGCAGTGACTCAGGCCTCAGGCAGATAGTGATAGCCAGCAAAACTTCCTTCTTCTGATATAATACTCCTAACTCACAGAACCTGCATGTTCTTGTATAGTCCTGACAGGATGTGGAGTGTGGGGATAGATTTCTGCAGGGAAGGTTGTAGTCTCCGTAACCCAAAATGTTCTCCACTGTTTTTACAAATATCTTCTTCCTTTTTCACTCAAGTTCCTTAAAATTGCAAGAGTTATTACAGTTTGATGTTTTAATTAAGGTCCTTACCCTAATAGATAGTTCCAGGTTTTCTGCTCCCCACATGGTCATGTCAGAATCATAAGCTCCAGTATTTTGGAAGTAATGGCGATCCATGGCCACCACTGCACCAGCTACTGCAGGACTCCTGTGTAGAAAACAGTTTGGAAGTGAACACCTTGATTTATGGGAATTACACAGAGGGTGAAAATTCCACCATTTCCATAGCGAGAGTATTACAAAATGATTAAATACTGCTCCATATAAGCTTGAATAAACTGATTATCTAACCAAAATAAAGGACAACTGGAGTGTAATTCTAGGATTTGTTTGGGGAAGGGAGCTAAGAGCTGAATTATCAAATAAGACTCAGAACAGTGAGAACACTGCACACATGTACATTCAAAACAAGAGGCAAACAGATCATGACTAACACATCTCTTTTAACTCTGTCTTTTGCTTTCCCTACAAACCTCCACACCTTGTCTAGTCAGGCTGTACTCTAGTTGTGTCAATGTGTGGAAAGTATTTGTCACACTGTGACTGCAGTATGGTTAGAATGATTACTAAAGGCCAAAACAAACAGCACAAACAAAAAACTTATCCCTTAAGAATTATTAACTGAGCATATGCAAGTAACCACACCTTTCTCTTGTTAGCTGGAAGATGACCCAAGATGAGCCAAGATGACCCAAACTGTCCAGTTTTGTTGCTGAGTTGGGCAAGGCACATTGATGGACTGTTACCTGATAGGGCTGATGGGAGACTGTCGTACCTTCTCTTCATGCTCTGGCACTGGTTCCCAATGAAAATCTAATTTCCAATCAAAAACACCTCGATGCAAGCCCACAGAGTGATAGTACTGAAAGGTCTTCCAGTCTATGACATCTATGACAGGGGAGACGACACTGTTTCTGAAAAAGACAATACCATTTATTTCCAAAACCAAAGCATAAATTAAGTCAGTTCCTCTGTTAGTCCTCCTCTTTGACACTGCCAAACACAAGCAGTGTTCTCCTCTATATGCTGAGTGCCCTTACCCTGCTGACAGAAGCTCAGGTACTCATTGCATGGGAATACTGAGCATGCAGTGAGGGATCTAAAGATCAATAATTTACTGATATGCTTGTACTTTGCATTGTCATTTAACACTCTCTAGAATTTTGTTAGGAGTAAATAATCAGAATTCTTTTAAAGCTACTTCACATAGGGCCCCAAGCCTCTGATGCTTACAGGCTCAGCATGGATGCAAAGTTTATAGCAGAATTTTGGCCTCTCACTCTTTACCATCCTTTGATTTTCCTGTAAATGTTGCACACACTTCATGAATATGTCACATCAGGCCAATAGAATGCACTTAGCCTTAGTTTGTTCTGCTGGTTGTTTTGAAAAAATATTTATTACTGAGCTCATAAGCCAGTGCCTGTTTGTATTTTATCACTATCTTAGAATGCTCTTGCAAATGCACTGTCACAGGGTGGAATCTACTTTTAAGAGCAAGAACAGAGCCAATACAATGTAAGTGGCAATCCCTGAACTTATTTCTAACGTAAGTTAAATTTGGATTAGTCTGAGAAGTGGTACTAGACATTTCCCTATGGCAAAGAAGGCACAGTATTTCACAGTGTACTTGCACATCCTGGTAGTTCAGACCAGCCTTCAGTGTTCCTTGTTTTCAGGTCAATGATATATCACATTTGGAAATGTTCAGAGTATGAATGAAATGGTATTAGGGACTGCAAGGAAAAAGTGTTGAAGAATAACATTATCCATTTCTTCTCTCTTATGCTAAAAGCAGTCCCTGGTCTCAGTGCAAAGGCTGGCCTACAGATAAAAGTTCTGGAGAAAAATCAGTAATATTTAAGAGGGATTAAAGTACACTGGAAAAAAAAATTATTGTTCTAGAGTAGGAATATCCATGTAGGAAATTATTCCCTACGAAAAAACTTCCTGTTAAAACAGAGAGAGAGAGAAAAATTAAACTTTGGGGGCAAAATGTAGATGTTTTTTCTCCTTTTTTAAGATGTATATGTTGGTTGGAAAACACAAGGAGGGAAATTTGCTTGAAACATAAGACTGTCAGTGAAGAAAGGACACCTCAGAAGTCTCCAGTGTATTTTTCTATGGCAGAGGCCAGAACCAGCTAAGGAAGATGATAGCTCTGGGTGATGTTAATGTAATCTTGAAATCTCTACTCTGCCTCTACAATGACTACAATAATGTTTTTTCAGTATCAGAGTGGGGGAAATGCCCAACTTTGTTTTTTCACAGTTGACATTTCCTGTAGAGGATTTTAGAAGCCCACAGAGAAACAAACAGACTACTGCTTGCTAATTGAGAGTACAAAGATGAACCATGCAGAAGATTGCTTTAAAATGACCCAGGTTTTTTTTCCTAGTAAAAGCAGACTATTCTATGATGAGCTTAAGCCAGGAAGATTTAAAATAGAAAAGTGATTTTATTTCTCTGCTCAGGTATAAAACCATCCTTTATAATATGCAATAATAAGCACTCTTAGAAACACGCATCTGGTTTATAAATAGGTGAGAAAATTTTATAGTCACATGTAGCATTTGCAGGCTCAGGAAGTGAGTTCCTCTCATCCTTCCCCAGAACTCAAGAAGAAATGTAAAGAAGTGATATTAAAAAATAATAAAGCTGATATCCTTCCATGATTCTCTTAATGATGTCCCTGTGATACAATTTTGTATCTGTGACACAAGAAACCACCCAGCAGGACCCTTTCTACTGGAAGCTTTACACACTAACATCATGCAAAGCAAACTACCTGCTTCTAGAAGTTGCTAAAGGCATTGTCCCACTGGACTCACACAAACAGGCATTTATTTTCTTTGATATGCTGGGGGAAATCCATCTGACAAATTGGATTTTAAATGACTAAACGTCAAAAATGAAAAGTAACAGTAATTTCTAAAGCCTGCTGCATTCTCCAGTGTACAAATATTTCTGACAACTGCCTGGTTGGGAGTGCAGATGCAGCTGCATAGTTCCCACCTCAGTTTGCTGCTCCTTGCCAAAACCCACACTATCTATTGTTACTGGTTTATCCATTCTCATTCAGACAGGACTGAGGAATTAATGATCCCAGGGTAGTTTATTTTACTATTTCAGATTCAAGAGGGAAATATCAGGAGGGTGTATTTGAGTAGAAGCCAGAGGCAATGTAGACTAAACTTCTCAAAAGACCTTGACCACGCAAACTAGACCACATGAAGTGATCCTGGATAGTTCAGATAGAAACAATGCAAATACAGACACACTCAGATATATTCTGGATCAGATGATCCAAACATCTCAGATTATCCTATGTTTTCATATCATTGTAACTATTTGAAATCTGTTGTTTTTTTTTTTTTTTTGAATCCACCTTGAATTTGTTGCCACAAATTTGTTGCCACAGCTCCAAACTCAGGTGGTCCTTCTGGCATGAGTGCAATTGCTCACAAGAGTAGGCACCACAGTAGTAGTTCTAGTTACTGGGCACAGATTCTTCAATATTTCAATTCAAGAAATATACCAGTAAGGACATAATGGATTCTGATAGTTTGGAGACCAAGCAATTATCCAAACTATCTGCAAATCATGACATGGAAAATTACAGTGTTTAAGTTGAAAATAACTCACAGGAATAGGCCATGTTTTATCCTGGCTAAATTCAACCATAAACCAGAACAAAATAAAATCTGATCAACTTTCCCACAAAATTATACAGTAAAAACTGATAACTGCTTTAGAGTTACTATTCGTGTAGCTTTTTCAGAATGCCAATTTTCAAGAGTATGTTTGTAAGAGTAATTCTAGACTTTCACCTGGTGTAAGGGTAGTATAGTCACAATGTAGCCCTGCTGAAACCAACAGAAACACAACTTCTTTAAATATTGGGAGTGTCTTTCTGATCTGAAACAGAAGAATCTAGTAACTTTATCTTGTGTGGAATGTGGTCAATATTCAATTTTAATCCTAAACAAGCAGTGCTTTACCCACTTTTTGTTGGTAAGATTTAAAAATAAATTGCTGTTTTCTGCATATTCAATGATGGCTTGACATTTGCGTAGTGCTAAATGCAAATTTGCAGTAGATGATAATTGGAAGATGTTCTTAGCTATTCTTGTTTTTAACTGAGTAACTGGCAGACAGCAACTTCTTGGCACTTTGAAATGAAACACAAACTACTGCTAATTTTACTCTGTGGAATCTGAGGAAAGGGAAAAACAGGAAATTCAAATGCAACTAGCAGCAAGGCTTTGAACTGTTTGACTAATCTGTGAATATTTCAAATGCTTGGAACTCACACAAATTACAAAAGGTCACAATTCCATGAAAAAGAGCAACCCAAACAAGAACAATTTCCTGGTTTGGGATTTCTTTACCAAATACAATTGCTAATGAAATATCTTCCCATGACCCTTTAGAGTCAGCATGGACATTAAGTTCTTTTTTAATTTTAAACTAAGTAACACAGGAAGAGAAAGATTTAATTAATGTATCAGTTTTGAAGTTTTTGATACACTTTTTTTTTTAAAAATACTTTTGTATTGATTTATACTTTGTTTCGCTGGGAAGGGTATCGATCTTAATATGTTTAAATCCTCCTTTAAATAAGGAGAAAAAGAAACCCAAAAAAAACCAAATATGAAAATTATGTATATTCCTTAACCTATTTCAGGGTGCATCACAGCTTGCAAAAATTAGATAGCTAAGAAATCCAGGCAGTCCCTCTGTTTCTGAACACAGTCAAAATTTCAGTGAGTAACTGAGGATCCAAGTTGGTTCCACAAAATGCTGCATTTCCATTGAGAGCACCTTGCTGGCTAACTGCAGTCTTAAAAATACAGACCACTTGAAATTAGGTAGGGTTAATAAGAAGATAAAATGCAGTGATAAGGAATGTTATAAAGGATTACTTAAATACTGCCTTACAGACCAACTCCAGACTAACTTAGGACTTAGGAACAGTCTACTTGAATGGATGGATGGGCTAGTCTGTTGTTTTGCAGTTTGTTCTTCTGTAGTAGGTTTTAAATATTCCCTGTTATAAGTTTGTAATGATCCATTCCATGTACCCCATTTGGCTTCCCTAATGGTTCAGTCCTGAGTTGTTTACCCCAAGATTTTCCCTGTGAAAGATTGTAAAGAGGTAGCTTATCGTCCCATAACCTACCACGTAAATGCAGAACATTTAATGAATTTGAAATGAGTGTTATTGACAAATGGGAGATATAAAAAGGATAGAGCACAGAAATCCCAGGAAGTAGGCTGTTACATGTGAAGTGTATGGAAAGCTTTCAAAACAGGAAGAACAGCATGGAATTGCAAGCTCAGATGCTGGGGTTGTGTGGGCTCTGAATGGATAGCATCATGCTTCCCCAAGCCTGTGAGAAGTAAAACAGATGGCTTATGTATTTGGCAGCTCAAAAAGCTGGGATATGGGCCACTGAAAAGTGGGGAATCAGAATAAAAGAGATGAAGAAGCTGTTCATCTTTAGTGCAGAATATTTCCTTTCTCTCTTGTGTATTAACATAAAACCAGAACCACACAGAAATTTTCTGGACAGCAGAATCCTTTCTATTCCTGTATCTACAAGCAGAGGCTTCCATTTATTCCCAGTGGGAGCACACAGATGATGAAACACCTTTCCACTGCTACGCTAAATTCTTATTCTGTATATCAGCATTTTCATTAAAGATCAGTGACCTAGAATCATAGTACTAAGTAAAGGAATTTTGAATTTTAGAAACCAGATAAGCTTTTTAAAATAATGTAACAGGTTTCTGTTTCCTAATCTAATATTTGAGCTGTGATACAGGCAGTGCTCCAGCACAGAGAGTAACAGCCTTTGCAATGAGGAGCAGGGAAAAGGTCCTAAGGCCCAGCTACCCCTTTGCAAACCACCCCTCTGTCCATAGTAATGGTGCCCAGGCCTCTTTTACAGGTGGAGCTCCTTGTCAAGGATATCATCAAGGTTCATTTTGCTTTCATGAAGTATTTTCAGGAAATAAGTTTTGGAGT